CATGTTACGGCTTCCTCTTAAAAAGAATGATAGGCTGAGCAAAAGTCCACAGTCCGACTCTGAAAATCAGTATGCATACTATGGACTCTGAACAATGTGTGTTCCTTCAAGTCGTCTTGGCAATATGACCAAGTTGCAAAAACAAGGTCAAACAACTTTTGTGCGACGAAAGGAGACCAGGACCATACTAAAGGCCACACCATCCTGGTCTTCATAACTTTAATTGAATTATTTTCTTGATTAAAACTTATTAGAGTGAAGATGAGTAACATATGCCCGCAATATTGTCAATACGTTTCACATTCTAATCCCATTTAGCGTTCATAGTTTCAACCGAGGTAAATTAGTTTGATTACGAAAATAAAAGGCGGTATTTTAAGGACAAGTATGAATTGTATGAGTAGTTTTTTTTACCCTGTGATACACTTTTTATGTTTGAGTAAAAGTAGCCACACTAATTAGGCCTAAATTATGATTTAGTAAATAAGAGCTAAATAATAGAAACAAAAGGATTAGGAGAACTTACATTTAGTAATTGATTATGACGTTTCTCCGTTTGCAGAAGTTCGTTTTCAGCCTACAATGGTGATAATTATAGAGTTACTAGGATGTTATTAGAAGGAGGAAAGTAAATTACCAGCAGACATTAGTAACATGCATATGATCTTTTGAAACCAAAGGCGAACAAGGTAGATGATCGTAGATAAGGTAAGATGAAGCATGGATATAGGAGGCTTTACGAAACAGAATATGTGCAAGAATAGATGCCCATAGTGCAGATGTTGTTAGTCCTTATTGGAGTTCATTTGGATCTCGTATAAGAGGATTACCGCATGGTTGAGGATGTGTGATGAACCCCCAAGGTCTCGGAGGTTTGGGTTTTATTACTGTATCCTGGCATTGAGTCAATACAAGACATTTAGTTGAGACTGGGCACGATGGGAAAGTTTCATTTCAAGGTTTGTTGCTGCTGGGAGCTTTTGATTGTTGTCTGATGTTTGGGGGACTATGATGGTAGGTGGAAGCCGACGCTATGACGGAACAAATATACAAACCATGGTCGAAAACAAAACTTGTATCTCGTGCATATGAAGAACGAATGGGTCTGGGGGAATCCTTTTTATAAATTCTCACATCTAATTCATTTTGGAGAGGCGGATGGAGGGTATTCGTATATTTGTCTCCTATGAAACCACGCCCAAACCCATAGTTACCACTCCCTCGGTTTCAGGTGGATCAATTTCCGTCCTGTCTTTCCTAACGAAATAAGATATTTGAAAACATGAAACACATATCTAAGGTGTATTTACCCTATTTCGTTTAAGTTGAAGGACTGGTAGTTGAATTTTCCCACAGTAATATGAGTAGAGCTGACGTTTCCATTGAATTTCACATATCCTTGCTTTCCCAAAAGGTGTTCTTATCCAGGGTAGACTGCATTTCAACCTCGCCTAGGCATTATCAACACCCTCAGCGAGACTCGAACCATGACAGTGCAGCGTGTAATCTCGACACGTTAACCACTACGCCACATTGCCACGAGTGCCCTTGGGTTATAGGGCACATGTGAATTTCACGGAAGACCAGGCTTTTGCTCATATCACATTCTTTGGTGGGTTTACCGATGAAGCAAAGTCATATTTGCTATAACAATCGACTACATTATTATTATTTGTTTATAAGTAGGCTTTCGAGATTATACATATCACATAACTGATTTACTAGTAGTCTCAAAAGCTACTTATAAGCGAAAAATGAGACACGTATTGTTTTTTCTTCATCACTGTGAGACTTGTGCGAAATGTGGTATTTGGCCTCGACCGCCAGTGCTGTTTTTCATGGTCCAAGATGTCTGACGTCAGCTTGAGAACAAGTGTACAAAGTAACATATGCAGGTTTGGCCTAGCATATTAGTATTCAGGTGCGGCTGAGTCACTAGAAGTTCAAGCCACTTATATTCTTACAAACTCCTGAGGTCGTGGGAGAAATTTTTCTTCAACTGAAGCCGTTTATATTACTCATGCCATTGCTGATAATACTAAGAATACATCCGGGCTAATATCGGTGTGAATGCGCCAGACTTCGTTTATTCCTCACTTCTTAATAACTTTAGTAGGACCTACTTTGCGTGCAAAAGAGCTTATAGTCGTCTCTCAACAAGGATAGATGTAGATGTAAGGCATCGAAGCAATAAAGTGACTACATGTTTATCTTTTAGATTGAGTTAATGTAGTCTATTAAAGAAGGGGAGATGAATTATTTTGTAAGTGTGAAAGTTTTTCATCTTAAGAATTGCATCCATTGCTAATACTCCATAATAAGCCTACCTTACTGCCCGCCTTATGACGCAATCTCTGAAGCTAAGAGGCCTTAATGTTTTTAGTTTAGTGAAAAGGGATGTCATTATTGTTAGCTTCTGGTATACTATCGCGACCAAGGGAAGGATAACATCATATAATAATGATCGTGTACAGTTAAAAAATTGTTTTTTTAATATCCCACCTCCTCTACTTTAAGCTGGGTGAGAGTTACAGCATTGCATCTGGTCTCATCGGCATCCAATGCCGTTGTGGTTAGTTGCAGTTCATCAATCTTGGCTCGGTACTCCTCGTTGAGCTGATAGGATTTACGCATTTTAATTATCTCTTCTTCCAGGCTCTCTTTCATTTTAAGCATCTGCTCACGTTCACCCTACAAAGAAATAAGTGTTGGGTTTGGCATAACCTCGTAGTCTCAACATAGCCATAGCAACACAGAACAATCAAGGCATAAAGTTGAGAATCGAATTGCACTATACTCACTTGGTGTGATGCCGTATAGGCATATTCATGTTCATCAGAAATGAGCATACAATTCGTAACATAAAACAACTATGTAGTGCAAACTTTAAATAAAAATTGTTGTTTCGTGGTTGTATTCGCAAATTGGTCGTAGAATCTCAGTCTTCCTATATGCAATTTAAATAAAAAGCCTTAGTTATACATGAGGGCTCCAGGATGATAATTTCGTGCTAGTATTTTGCTCTCAATTAGGGCTCGGCTCGATTCCTCAGGTCTCACTTTCAACAAACTTTACCAGACATTCTCTAATTGTAGATACAAAGAGAAAATGGGTTTCGATGAATCTCCCGAAAAAATATTGTTGGGGGGACTTTCATTAAGTATGAAAGTGCATGAAGAAGAGATTTATTGGTTGATCTCACCAGATGAGGACGGATGAATCCCGTTGTACTACAGCAGTTTGCTTTTATACGATATTCATGTTGACGCAGTCC